TACTAATGAGATCTAATCTTCCTTATTTGGGATGGGAGAAGATTAGCCAAAGCTAAGTTTTGTGTAGTACAAGAGAGCCAACAAGGGAAAAATGTGCATTGTCAGGCAGTAAATGGGCATAGCAAGAATAAGAAATCTTAAACCTTTTCATCAGATGATTTGTTCACTCAACCTCTCTGCTTAAAACCTTTAAATTTAGGTTTAATATACTTTCCCCAAATTGGCATCAGTAAAGGAAGAAGTTATATTTGAAAGTTGCCATAGAAGCATGATATAGAGAGTAATGAGGGTGGACTTGAGGGAGAGAAGGGATAACTGTATAATAAAAATATAAATAAATAAATATAAATATAAATATAAATATAAATATAAATATAAATGAATGAATGAATAAATGAGAAGGAAAATATACATTAAGTCCAGGACATATAGAAAGTATGGGCAAATGTATCAGACAGGTATCTCCCTAAATCATGTGGTTATAAAAGAGAGAGGAGGGGCAACAGAATCAGACTTGAAAGATTATGACACTATAGCCAATCTCAATAAAAGTGGTTTTTAGTCTTCTGTGGAGTTGTTTCTTGATCTGGTCTACCTAGTAGGGCTGACATCAAACTTTCAAGGCTGACTATGCTTTCTTTCATAACCATGTGATTTAGAGAGGTGTCTGCCTGAGATATTTGTGTCCACTTTCTAGATTGAAGCTTGCTGGGAGAAAAATGGTTGGGATACATGTTGTGGTATTACATGGTTTAGTCGCTATAGTTGGTATTAATATGATTGTGTCACATGGAATCAGCAGTTTCCTGTTATTTGTTCAAGAGAGATAATATCTAGCCAACTAAACTGGAAGATCATCTGAGGAGGCTGAGGAGAAATCACTGAGAGAAAAACCCGGGCTTAGGAGGTCACATATACTATATCTCCCATTTTCAAATAATAGTAATTCAGCATGACCTGGATTTAGTGTATCTCATTATTTATTTCACAAAATTTTATGGGATTGTAAGTTGTCAACATAAATTACATATCTTCAACATTGCAAATATATTGTACTATGATAAATGTAGATACATTTCTAGTGTGTCAGTATATACAAATCAATACAATATGTGTATATATATTAATTTTTAAAAACTGTAATGTCCAATTCCAAAATTCAGGGTGGGGTGTGTACACACACACATACACAGTCCTCAGTACAATCATTCTGTAATGAACCATTTGTATTCCAATTAAAGCAGATCCTTGAATAATATGAACGTGTTTCAACAACTATTTGCTATTCAGTTTCCACCTTTTCTATATAATCTTTTCTTGAAAATTGTCTTTTTCATAAACATACAAGCCTTCTGTTCTCTCTCTATAATCATCCATCCAATACAGAATGGTTAGTGGTTTACATTCTTCCAGTATATATTTAGTGGCTTAAATCTTTTTTGACTATAATAGAGATGGTAGAACTGTTTGGAACAGGAATTATTTGGGTTGATTTCAACAAGTGATTACTTGAAAGGGAGACACTTCTGGTAATAATACATAGAACTACACTACATTTGCATGAACCTGACAGACTAATTACATGCTTATGTAACAATTATGCATTTACTGTATCTTTTTATCTAATTTCAGACAAATACTGCAACCCAAATTCATGACATAAAATAGGGAAGCTATGCTAAAATTGCATGTACGATGAATTAGTACTCGGGTTTATCAAATAACTTCTTTTTAAGTATGCTGGCCTCTGTTTACACTATGTTAGGTTATATATACGTGTAGTTATTTGTATGTGTTACGTATATACAACTAGTTCAAGGGTTTAAATAAAACAGGTGTGATGTTTTGCTAAAGACAGGTTGAGCCAGAGGCCCATCTTTTGGGCTGTTGGGCTCACTTTGACAATACTTACATCTTTTTTGCAAAATGGTTGCTGGCTCTGGTTCCCTGTTTTCCCAAATAGCTGTCAATACCACATACTGATTTGCCAGAATGCTACCTGCCATCTTTTCTCATCCTCCTCCTGCAAGATACTCCCCAGTATTCTGGCTTATCCTTCTGTTTTTATTTGGCATGTGGGCACACTTCTAAACTAAGCAGTGGGCTGATACCTCCCATCCTTTTTGTTTTATGAGACAGTTTCTGAAGCTCATTTCAGTTCCAGGGACAGTCTTAGAAATAAAGACAAGGCTGGAGCCAAATGTCTGGATCACAACTTAGAATGCCTCCTTTCTGAGGACTCTGTGGAGCTTTAGGACAAGGTATTCATAAAATAAACAAAACTGCCGTCGCTATGATGAAAATATCGCAATGAATGCGCTACAATCAGTTTGTACTGTGAGTATATTCACAAATCACTTACTACACCCTTTGCTTTCTTTTAACCTGGCCCTGGCCCTGGATGGGGACAAAGCCTGATACTTCTCTAAAAGAGGTGAGAAAAGTGTGCACTGGCTCAAAATAGGAAAAACTTTTTTTTGGAAAACTGTACAATTTTATATAAAATATTATATGAGGTTTTACCATATCTTCACATCCACAAAACTAGGAAAAAAGACAAAGCAATTTGTCCTTCATGAAAAAAATGCATGGCACGTTTGATCTTTGTCTTGCTGTGATCTGCTTTTTTTAACATTACATCACCCTTGAGAAAACCCTAAACCACGAATGGGAAATCATGGCTAAGACTCAAATTACTATATTTCCCAAAGTATTTGCATATTCTGGTGCTCCAGGTAATTCCCTCAGCTGTTTTCAGCAACAAGGGAAAGGAAAATTGGACTTAGATTAGTTGTTTGTCCAGCTGCAGAAGTAGATAGGTAACATTTCCTTGACATGATAAAGCAGCACCACTAAAGGGAACAGGAATCAGCAATGGCTCAGAATGTGAACAAGGGGCTGATGCCTGCTAAAACTGAAATGATGAGCCCTTAGATGTTAGATTATACACATGAACAGGAAGAAACAATGACTGCAGGCAGTTCGGAGGAGTCCTGGCATGTAAGTATCAGGCCCCAAGAAGCAGTCTTTGGAGCCTTCTGGAATTAACTCATGAATTCCTTATGTATCCCACAGATACTCTTGTGATGTCTAAAGGAAATAGGTAGAATAAGCAAATAACTTTTTCATCTGTCCTATGTGAAAGATACACCTTTAGAAAGGGAGCATATTGGAAACTGGTAGAAATTGTTACTCATTGTTGCTCAGGGGAGAGCGGACACGAGATCTGCACAATGTTAGTAGCTAGGGCTGAAAATTATTTAGAAGACCTTTGGATCACGAGCAAACAAGGCAACTCTCAGCTCATAATTAAAGTAGTCACATCTTTTGTGAAACTTCTCTATGAGTCAGAGAACTTTAATGAATAGAGACTATAATTAATAGAGAGATGTTGTATTCATGCAGTGTCCAAAGTATATTTCAAGATAATTTTCAAAGCATGCACAGCTTTGTTGACTTGCTTGTATTAATTTATATATAAACATGCAAACATATAAACAATTATTGTAATTTAAATGTGAGTATATTTCTCCAAATTGGGCAACACCATGACCATGTGGCCAATGTGGCTACTTAATCTGCAATCTAGGAGCAAAATACTGATGGGCAGCTTTGGGTCCTATATTCACCTTATTCCAAATTTTTAAAATATAGCCCCATAAACAGAGGATGCATCAAGAGTACTGCCTGGTGGTCCTTCAAACAGATGACTAATATTCATAGAGTAGGCATATGGATGTCTCCCAGTTCATTATAAACATACTGCTAAAAGAAGTTTGGATCTTCTTAATTTTCTTCAGTAAGAAATGCTACCTGTCGTTGAATATCCTCTTGGTCCAAGGAGTCACCTGTTGCTATCTTTTAACTTCCAACACTTAAAATTCAGCTGTCTGAATTAGTACATCAAAGTTATTTTGTGTTGTGTTGTACTGTATAGTTTATTTTGTGCTATTATAAAATATTTTAAAATCCACAATTATAGAGGCCATACCTAAATATTTAAAGTAAATAATACACTTCCCTTACATGTTTATTCGCCACTTGCTAACTTTGGAATCACAAAAAATGAAGGTCACTACCTTAACATTTGTGATAGGAAGTTTGGTTTTATTCACTATTAATTTGATATTTGTAACTATTGTACCAGTAACAAGTATGTGGTTATGATTCAGAAACTGAAATCAAAGAGGAAAGAAAACAAACTCATGCTTAACTGAACAACAGCACAATTTGATGCAGGAATAAAAGCCACTGAATTAAATGCAGCACACCTCCACTTGCAGCTGAAATAAGTAAATGGATACTGCATATGTAATGATTTCTCTATAAATCCTGGAAGAAATTTCATAGTCAGTCCAAAACAACCTGATTCAAACATATATTTCAAACATACAATAGGCATACATATGTTATCAAACGCTTAAACCAGTTAAGATCTGAATAAATAATATATTTGAAATTAAAATATTTCATTTATGCATGCATAAATTATTCCACATAATTCACTAAGTCAAAGCTTTCATGTAAAAATGTGAAACTGCTAATTCCTGTAAATTATGCTTGAACAAATACACACATGCATATAAACATACCCCCCCCATTCACATTAATAGTTCATTCATTTCTAACTTTATTACAAGGAACAGCTGCCCAGCTGCCTTGAGCTCTATCTATATAGACTCTCAGCAGCATATATAACTCATCTTCCATTTGTTCCCACAACATTAATCCTATTGGCTAGGCTGCAGACATACGTACATATAGATGCGGCTAAATGAAATAACATTTCATTGATTAAAAACGAGACAAGTTATAAAAATATAGGGAATAGAAAATCTTAAACGCAGAAAATCTTTAAGGAGGTGTGCTTTTCACCAGGCAAAGCTGCATATACCAAATGTCAATCCAAAACAAGAGGGATATAAATTAAACAAAATACATTTTATTAGAACTATGCATTAAAAAGTGACTCAGACATCTTCACCTACAGCCGCTGTTACCATAGTAAGATCTGGAGTTTGGTATATTGCAGTATCCGCACTTTACAATAATTCCACTTGCGTTGCATTTATAAAAATAAGCTTCTATTTCGCACAATAAATTAAAATAGCTAGTCATCTGCAAGTTATATACTTAGGATAAATTGTTCTTCATTGCATCCACAATTTCATTCACAAGCCTGGAAAATAAAAAGGGACGAAGCTCCATTAAACTTTAAAGGACCATAAAAATAATAAGAATGCATATTCTTCATATGAATATTCAATTTTATTTCTTAATATAGCCATATCGATGTGGACAGTGAAAACAACAGGAAGATGAAGTTTAAATAAGACTACACACATCTGTATGAACTTAATATGATGTTATAGGAAAACATTTAGAACCTATCAGTAACTGTCACTTTTCCCATCTTATTCCGCTCAGCAATTTGATTCTTATTCCACCTCTATTTTTTACAACTCAAGGTGGTTGACATAATGCTTCTTCCTCCTATTTTCCCATAACAACAACTCTGTGAGGTGGATTGGACTGAGAGAACGTGACTGGCTCAAATGATCAAGGTAGTAATCTTTGGTGTGCAATGCATCAAGAATCTTAATGGATGCAGAATAATGGAGCAGCAAGTAGGCCAAATTTGCCAATGGTTTAAAAAACGCAATCCAAGTTCAAGATGCAATTACGCACACATGAGCAGCCCCAACAACCACTTACCTTTGGGAGGTAGTTGATGGAAGGAAGAAGGAAAGACTAGGGTGCAAGATTCACTTGATGACTGCCAACTTTACGTCAGTGTTTACCTAAACATACCATGCAGTTTATTAAATCTTTTTTTTTTTTTAAGGCACTAAAGCAAAAGAGAGTGCATGAGACAGCTTTAGTGAAAATTTATGCTAGTTGGCTCTGCATTTCATTTTTCACAGGATCACTTTTATTATGACTAAGTAAAGGAGTCAAAAATAAATGATAGAATAAGTTAGGTTTTAGATTTATCTTTGCACATTCCAGCTTTTCTGAGTTTACAAAGGAGGTTCACAAATGAAGTACAAATTTCACAGAATATAGGAAACGGAAATCTATCCTGAAAGCTTAGAATACCATTGGGAATGTTTATTTGAATGTAAGTAAGCTCTTTTAAATCTAAACGACAAGTTAAACATTTATATTTCTGGTATGGTTTATCTTGGCATTTCCTGTGAAGGATATTTGGTGTTGAAATCAAGATGAATTAGGAACTGTTCTAACAGAACTTTAAAATGGAAAATCTTCCTTGCATTTAGCGTTTCACTACACTTTCAGATAAAATGGCTTAAATTGCTTATAGTTTCATTTTACAATGGAGAAATACAATCTCATAATTTGGTACTTCATGATTACAAACACTGAGATTATATTGCTACTTTGAAGACACTGCAACCACTTGACCAAGATTGCGGTCAGTGTTATCATGCCAGGAAAATAATCTTATCAGAAATAGTTCTGATAAGAAAAGTGTGACATATTGGGGAACTCTGTCGTTGTGATTTCTTCCATTAACAACTGACATTTCATTTAAAATTGAGCTAAGACTACTCACATTTTTAAAGGTAAAATCAAAATCAAAATGGAGAAAATCTATCTATGAGGTCGCTAGGAGTTAAAAATCAATCAATCAATCAATCAATCAATCATCAAAATGCCTTTGAAGCAGTTGTTTGTCAGCCCTTGTGAGAGTGTCACGTATTTATCTGCCCTTCCTTCTTCCTCCATGGAAATCATTGCAACCCTCTGATGCCACCCCACTCATTTTAAGCATGGTAAGTAATAGGAAGAAGTACCATTTATGTGCTGAGCATATTCCCATTAACCCAG